ACACACCAGATGATTAGCTCTTAAGCAACTCCTTTATCAGTTTCAAAGCAGTGAATCCTAAAACAACTGAGGCAGAATAGTGTTTTACACAAGATGAAACAAACATATAACAGTGCAGAGAGACTCGTCCTATGCCCTGTTAGGAGTATTAGAGTTGGAACAAGCAGTGGATGACATCCACGTTCATGCATCAGCCAAGACGGTACTGCTTCAGTCATCTTCTATAGAGAAGGAGAGTCATAAAAGGGCGGGGAAGGGGGGGAATTCTCACATCCACAAGTTCAGTGATAAAGTTTACAAAATGCAAATAAAAGCCTACAGCTGAACATAACCATTTAGACCCTTGAATGCAAACAGTTAAAATTGTGATTTGAGTTGTTTAGAGTTACTAAGGGACCAAAGTAGACCCACATTTCTTACCACAAGTTTGCTTTCATTTCTTTTCTCTTGTGAAGTCATGTAAAAGAATCTGTCTCTCCTCCTATGACACAGAGATGGTCTGTGAAGCATTATGTCATAGGTCAGAGTATTTGATGTATTTTGGGACATAGCTCCACAGTAAACCACAATACAAGCAATCAAATCTGTGGATGTATGCATAAGCTCAAGGAATAAAGCACAGCAGTACATCTGGAAATAAGAATTGCTGTTGGCCTTATTGTTGTTTAGGCTTGACAGTCAGAGACAGGGAACACATAAGTGAAATAAAATAGATACTTTTGGAACTTGTTGGTCCCTGTGATCAAAAAGGTAACCCTGGGAAGAGTTCTCTGGTAACAATAGATGGCAGCAGAGCTGTACTCAAATATTTAATTGGTGGTGGGGAAGATTCAAGCCCCTTTACTGTGGAGCTAGAAAAGGGCTGCTGTGGACTTAAATACTGAAAACTGCTATGCTACTGGTACCAGTCTTGAAGACACTTTAGCTTCTTCACCAACTCACTTTTCAGTATTAATGTGTTCTGCTTTTAGAGCACTGTTCCTGCACGTGCCCTGCAGAACCAGTCTTTGCTGGTGTCATGGTTTAATCCCAGCCAGCCACTAAACCCCACACAGCTGCTCACTCACTCCCCCCTGCCCTGGTGGGATGGAGAAAGAATCAGAAGAGTAAAAGTGAGAAAACTCATGGGCTGAGATAAGAACAGTTTAATAATTGAAATAAAATAATAATAAAAGGATACACAAAGCAAGTGATGCACAATGCAATTGCTCACCACCCACCAACCGATGCCCAGCCCATCCCCAAGCAGCAATTGCCACTCCCTGGCCAACTGCCCCCAGTTTCTATACTGAGCATGACATCATATGGTCTGGCATAGCCCTTTGGCCAGTTGGGGTCAGGTGTCCTGGCTGTGCCCCCTCCCAGTTTCTTGTGCACCTGGCAGAGCTGAAAAGTCCTTGACTAGTGTAAACACTACTTAGCAACAACTAAAACATCAGTGTGTTATCAAGACTATTCTCATACTAAATCCAAAACACAGCACTGTGCCAGCTACTGGGAAGACAATTAACTCTGTCCCAGCCAAAACCAGGGCAACTGGCTAGGTTGCAAAGCACTTAGCTTGCATATACATCCTTATTAAGGACCGATAAACTATGCCTTCTTCCACCAGAGCTTTTCCTGAAGAGCCTGATCAGGTAGATGTTTCCAGAGCATTCCTTCTGATATTTTCATTAATTCAGTTCCAAGGTGTCAGAGAATCCCTATGTATTGTGTCAGGAGACAGGCATCTAAAAACAGGGCTGAGAGTTTTGTACCAGGAGGCAGATATCCTATGGGCATCCAGGCATTATTTTCATCCTCGCAGAAGAACAGACCAGCCAAACGACACAGAAGGTCAGTAGCTGTGCAGTTCCACTTTTAATTGTAAATCTGCAGTAGTTGTGAGCATGGCCTTTATACTTCTCCACATAATATTCTCTGTTTCTGTTATGGTCCAGAAGTACTATAGCTTCGTGGCAGCCTGTAGATGCAAAGAGCATGAAATCAAACACATCTGCAGATACCACAGCAGGCAGGCAGGGGAAAGAGAGCTGGAGTCCTCCGAAGAAGAGGTAAGTAGGTGGTTTTGATTAAAGGTTATTCCTTCCCTCGCTATGGGACAACTGTTATCCTTCTAGTGTTTGTCACACTTGCTTACACTAATGTATGTGGTTTGACATCATGGGTATATGAACACCTGGACTGATCCAAGCCTTCTGTTGCCCATTGGTGAGGCAGAGTAACTTCAATCAGTGTCATATCAGTCCTTTTGTGGAGAAGAAAGTTTCATGCACATAAAGCATCCCTGCTCTCAGGGGCTTAATTTGCTTTTTGTGTTGTATCATTAGAAAACAGTATCTTTTCCTTTGCAGAGGACTGAAGACTCTGTAGCACCCAGTCAAGCTCAAACTTGCCAGCAACATGTAAGTTTATAGAATACTTTGTTTTTAAATTGAGGTGTAGCATTTCTTTATCATTTTGCATCAGGCTGGTTAACATTTGTGATCAGGTGCAGAGACTTTGTGATGGCACAGAAGATTAACCAGTGGTGCATTCACAATCCTAATGGATGTAAAGGTGGGCAGTAGAATGGGCATAGAGACTTGCAGAGTTAATTATAAACCAGACTGTGGCATTCTGGCACATAACCAGTTAAGAGTCTACTTTATAGTTTGGACTGGTACAGAAGGTCAAACACTGTGATTAACTTTGGGCTCTTGTGAATTGCATCAGCAATGATAATCCAGCAGTTCTCCAGTCTCACTTCATTTGTGCTCCTGCCACGTTCCCTGTGCTGATGAAGGGCATGCAGCAAGGCACACAGCAGTTGCTTAGCCAGTTATGCTCGGCCCTCATACAGTCTCTCTGAAGATTCCTGTTCCTCAGGGAGAATATTTTTTTTTTTTTAAATTATTTTTTCAAAGCCATCACCTCACCAAATCAATTTTGGGAACTTCTAATCCACAAAAGATGAAAAACATGGAATCTGTACCACAGCACAAAATAGTGGGAGCACCCTTGCTGTGTATATGTTTTCCAGGTTTATGTTCAAAACCATTTACATAGGTAACTTTCACCTTTGTGAGGCAAAGATTACAGCATGTTGATTATTTCCATTGATTGAAACATTAGATTAAATACTTTCAGTATGGTACTTGCTAACCTTTGTGTTGACAGAAACATTTTACAGTTTTGTCCATGCTGCCTGTTATACAGCAGCTGAAATGTAATTTTTTTTTTTTACCCAAATTCAAAGTTTTTGTGGGAAATCTTAAGATGACTAAACAGTAATGAAACTTTCTTCCTCCCCTCAAAGACCAGACAAGCTTCCAAAGACATCTACATTGAAGTTTCTCCTGGCACCTATTCTGTCACAGCAACCTCAGAGGACATGGTGCAACAAACCCATGTGGTAGATGTCAACGCAGGACAAAGTGTTGATTTAACTTTTGTTCTATGATGTTTGTAGTTTCCTGGCAATCACAGGAATAAAATACAAGGCTATTTTAATGCATGTAATGAACTGTGTATATCTTTGCTTGTTAGCACTTTAATAGTATCCTCCTCTTCGGGACTCCATTTTTATGGCCTGTATATTTGTTTTCTACTTAATGCAATTATATGCAGCCCACTTTGTACACTGATTTTATAAATATTTGTACATGTGTGCCTTAAATCCAATTATGTGACTGTGTAATTCCAGGTTCTTCTGCTTTAAACAATTAAAGATACGATCAGTGGAATAAAATACATGGTCTTTGTGATGACAGCTTCTCTTGTATTATTTTCAGAAAGAACGTCCACGTCACATTCTTGACCACAGAAAGCATAATCCATGTGGCATGAATATGGATGTACATTAGCTTCTGTGGGCTGGCACTGATTTTAGAGCAGCTGGCTCACAATGCATCTCTCCTATCTGTACTTTTATTAATCTGATAAATAAGACGCAAATAAAATTCACCATCTAGAACCCCAACTCAGGAAGGTGCTTGAACATATGTTTAGTATAGGCACATATTTGACACTTTCAAGTCCTGTCTCTTTGCAGGCTCTTACCTAGGCTAAAGACCAGTTAGCTGCCTTTTTCAGTAGGCAGTAGGGTACCCTGAATTGTCTCCTATTTCCTGCAGGGGAAAAGTACTACTGAGCATACTGCAGCTTATGGCCAAGCTCTTACACTTTAAACATGAGCAGTCCCACTAAAGAGACTCCCTGGATACTTAACTCTCCTGAAGGATCAGATTCCATGGTTAGAATTAGTGACATGACCTATATATATCCATAATCTTCTTGTAGCTGATGGTATTAAGGTTTCAGTTAATTTTCATGGGAATATAAGATTCAGTGACTTGAATGCTGGATCTCTAGGCATTTTGTTGTTTGTATCCACAGTAGCAGGTCCTTTACCCTGTGGCTACTTTCTCTTCTGCTTTAATCCTGAAAAAATATTTTCAGCTGTCAGCTTGTATTGTTTCTCCATTCCTTCTGGCTTTCTACAAAAAGAAATCACTCTGCTGAATTCTTCCTGCTGCCTCCAGAGAACTGTAGACAAATCGGAGGTTTATTAGACCCTTGTTGTGCCTCTGTTCAGGCTCTTAGCCCTCATACTAGTTTACCTGATCTCTCCAGAACTGTAAAGTCCAAATAATTAGGAATTTAATATAACACCTTGGAGTAAAGAATGAGGATGCTGATATTCGATGTGGGTGGAAATAAGAGGTTTTTCAGTTATTAAAATTATACAGTTATCCATAAATACATTCTACAAGAACACCAAAATCAGAACTTGATTTACTTAATAAATGTAACACTGATATAGTACAAGCACTTTACCTGAAATTTCAGCTCCTGAACTTCATCAGTTGTAAATTTATTGAATTCTGTTTGATCATGTCTCTCTGTGCTGTATTGCAAGTGAGCTCTTTGCTGTTTTTTCTGTCTGTCCTCTTCCGACACGGTCTGTGTCATCAAGTTTGTAGTCTCCTATGCAAGTTGCCTTACATTTATCATCTGATTCTGTTTTCTTTCTTGCTGCTTTATATCTTTGTTTTTCTGATGCTGCAAAGCCTTCTTCCTGGAGAACAAAAACAAATCGCTTGGAACTCTAGTCTAAAAAAACAGCACCAGTGTCTTTGTAACTGCTGCTTTGCTGGCTGTAAGATAGGTACCTCTGCCTCACGTAGCTTTAACAATGGTATCATTTCTGTGCTAGTGCAAACTTTACTGCTGAAACACAGAAGTGCACTGTAAGACCAAAGGATTTCCAGAAGCTGTTAGGCTTTGACCAAAAACTTTGCTTCTTTAGAAGCTAGGAGAATTTTTGATGACTACAGTGGGAGGACATCAGCACCACAGAGAGCACATCTGGGAAGCCCGCTCTCCAGCTTCACTTGTTTGTTGCAAGTTACTTCTTATGCAGGCTGTGTTACACAATAAAACTGCTTCAGCTATCTCAAGGAGTAGCAATGTATCCCCTGGGTTCAAAGAGACCAAGGGCTATTTTACAGGAATAAAAGTATGTCGTTATACTCTGTATTACCACATTGCATCCATTAATGTGATTCATGCTGCTGGTTTGGGGCTAGAATGAAACCGCTCTGGTTTCTTTTTAGTTCTACCAAAAGGCAAAGCATGTCACTTCAGTGCACAGCTGTGACACTTGCTAATACAGAGCATGTCTGCCTGGAGCTCCATACTGGCCTAAAAATTCCTAGGAAAGCAATTGCAAAGGTGGGTAATCATGATTATTTAAATAATAAAGTAGGAACCATACAGGTAATAAGTTGGTAGGCATCTGCTTAAAAATTAATACCTATGATTGTGAGAATACAAAATACATTCCAGTATATTCTCTGCTCACTAAGACATGTCATTAGCAGATTAATCTTCTCCTTAAGAAAATCATGCAAGTTTAGCACATTCAAAGTTTTACTCTGCAGTCAGCTCACAGTAGCAAGAGCATGAAGGTACAGAGGAGCTAATATCTGATTTCTGATATACAATTTATTAACTGTACCCTTGATGCTCTTGTGCAGACCAGTGTCTCTGTTCATCTTGCCATTCTCTTTCATCTTCCCCTTCTTCCTGCAAGCTTTTTTCTTCTTTTCTGTGCTTGCTTTTTTTGGGAAAAAAAATCAGAACACGAATGCCAAGTTTTTCTAAAGCAGAAGGGGACCATGGCCAACAGAAACCAGACCTAAAAATCAGGGTATTGTCCTTGTTCCTAGCTGTGACAGTTTGCTTACTCTCTATCCCCTAGCTTCAGGGTAGGGATCTGCTGTTTAAACTGCTTGCTTCTTGTGAGGGAGCAAGAGAAGATACTCAGTCAAGACTGTTTACTAGAAAAACCCTGCTTTTATTTTTCAGAGAGATTGTGACTATCAGAGTTTGACTGGCAGAGCCCAGCACCTTTCCAGATTGAATCTTTTCTTGTGTTTTATTGCTGCTAACAGCCACATCTGTCCATTTCTAGGGCCACTCATGTAGGTACCTACTTCCATAGGACTTCATTGGATTGATGTCAATGGGCATTTGGCAAGTTTCTGAATTGAAATTTGCATTACTGAAGGCTCACACAGTTACTGGCATAATTTTTTCCATTTTACCAAGTAGCTTCAGCCCTTCCTTAGGGTTTTGGGATTTTTGTTTCGTTTTAATTAGTGGAGAAGTTTCCTGCTTAACAAGCAGTGAAGTTAGAAACAATGTATTTTTCTAGCCAACTTCCAGACCATTAACAAGAATGTTTCTTCTAGTCAAACCAACCATGTCCTTACATAAATACAGTATGAATACAGATTACCTTACCCCCAGTGACAGCTTGAAATCTTGGTCTCTTAAGATTTCTTTCATTGTGAGTTGCCCTCTGGGAGACTGCTTGACGGTTTCAAACACTGCACGCTGATTAGTCAGAGCAACACGGGACCTGTCCCCAGTGGAGATGGCTTTGGATTCCAGCTTGCCCTTTGTACATGTGCTGCTGCGACTGCCAGGCCCTGGGAAGGAGTAAAATTGTATCTAAGAGTGAAACCAGAACTGAAATGAAGAAACATTCGTTTCAGAAGAGAGGAAAATGTACTTTAAGCCTGAAAGGAATTCATTCAGATTATTCTGCATGGACTAGCTGCGAAGGTTAATGAAGATGTTAGCATCATAAAAAGCATAGGAAAATGATGGAGAACAAACTAGGAGAGGGATAATCTATGCTTCCCAATGAAATTCATTGTTCTGTTAGTTTTATAATGGATGAGTTGCCAAAAGAAGAGCTAGCACACAAGGTGAGACAGCAGAAACGTTGGGGAGGGATTAAGTATCATATCCAAGACTCATATGCAAATTTCTAGTATTTATACCAGTAAACTACAGGCAAAGTGACTGCCCAGATGAAGGGGGCCCAGAGCACATTTGGTTTTTTCCCCCCTCTGGGTGCTGCTTCCCCATGGGGGTATTTAAAGGTACCTGAATTACTGGGATGGGACTTGTGGCTTCTTTCCCAGTATTTCCACTTGGGTCTTGCAGAATCCTTTAGCCTGGGCTTCTCCAGACAGCTGGAGCCTGTGTTCACAGCACTGTCCACCACAGTACTCTTAGTGGGGAATGGCTCCAGGTCACACTCTGAATCAGAAGAGGGGGAAGATGCTGCCACAGCTGCTGCTGCTGCTTCTTGCTTCGGGCCTTTCAGTTCTAGAAGGCAGGGAGAGGGCTCGCTGCCAGACTCTGCCTCTTTGGTTTCGCTCTGAAAGACCAGAGACCTGGGTGGAAGAGGCCACCAGGCATCAACACAGGGACGGCGGCAGCAGCAGATGCACCTTACATATGCTGACAAACAGCATATACCATCACAGTGATGGTGGAAGTGTGGCCAGCAGGGTGAGCAGAGAAAGCAGTGTTTGGCAAGGCTATGTACAGCATAAGCAGTAATCAGGGCTGGTTTAAGACAGCAGGAAAAAAGACAAGAGTTAGTCTCCAGACTTTCTCTGGGCTTCATCCTGCTGATGAAGGGCATGTGGATCATCTCTACAATCCTCTCCCACAGGCTAGGAGGGATCCACAGAGCCACACCTCGCGGGAGTTTCACTTTCTTGTCATTCCAGAACTGGACCATAATTTCTTCATCTTCTGAGGCTGTTGACAGAAAAGGTAAGCAGCCATAAGCAGCTGGCCTGCTGGGGCAGTGCACATGTACAGGTCAGGCTTTGCAGCTTTACACGCTTTCTTCTCCTGTCAAGCAGTAGGATCTACTATCATCCTTCTCTGTAACACCTCTCCTACGTTAGGATGATAAAATCACCCCCAGATGTACCACTCAGTACCAACGTGAGCAGTTAAGCATGGATGGGTGCTTCCTGAGAGCCACCTCACTTGTATTCCTCATGAAAAGGCCACCTTCCTTCACATAGCAGATACAGCCTTGTCCAAGCAGATGGGAAATGGCACATCTGCGGACGCAGATGACATTTTTATGAGTCACAACTTCCTTGTGGTCAGACCGGTGAGGTTACACACACACATTCATCTGCAAGTCCCATCAACTCCTGCAAGCTTTAAGCAATGCTAAACTTGTCTGTGCACTGGTGGTTCACTGGCAGTAGCACCACAACACAAGTTTATCCTGACAGTCTCTCTCACATCCCAGAGCAACATGAGGAAGGTGGCAGTGGCATTTTTCTTACCTCGTAAGGGTTCCCTTGTCTCAATGCCCGTGAGGACAGTGCCTGGGCCGTACCTGACCATATCTGGCTCCCAGGGTGCCAGCACTTTGTCTCCAGGGAGTAAGGAGTGCTTCATCCCATTTGTATATTCCAGGATGTCATCCTTTGCTGCTTTTCCCACACACACTGGATGCTTTCCATGTGACACAAGTGGTCTGGCGAACTCCACCAGGAATGTGCCTCTTTCACTCTGTTACCAGGAACAAAATAGTAGTTCCTCTGAAAAAACACTCCGTAATGCTCAGGTCATGTAACCTTCACCAGGAGACCATGCCGTGGCTATGTGGCTAGGTCAAAACACCAAGCAAGCCTGAACAGTAACTGAGTAGTGTGCGGTGTTAGTCCAGCATTGAGACAGTCAGAAAAACCTCCGTGAGTCTCACCAGAAAGCAGGCTGCGTGAAGCATATGTACAGACCCACTGCCACTAGGACCTGTATTTTCTTTCACAAATGAAAAAGCTATAGATGGAGTGCAACTGGATTTCACAAACCATACCATGTGCACCAGATAACAAGGGATACCAAAGCCACTCTTCAGTCATGCCCAAGTCCTTTCTCATTACATACAACATTAACTCTGCTTGTTGGGCGGGCTGTTGGGAATTTTTATTTTCTTTTAAATTAAGGCCTGTCAAGAGGCTTTCCATCAACAATGAAATGAGATACTTCCCTGTTCTTCAGAAAGAATAGGCTCTTTTTTCTCTTAAGTTTGAAGTGCTAACAAACTAATGAATTAAAGCTTTCACTAACATTTCTGAAAAGACACCAAGCCATTGGTCTGTAGCTGACTCAATCTGGAATTGCGTACATAAAACAGTAACGCTTTTCCTGTGCTATTGATGGTTATGTGTCTACACACAACAGTAGCTGGTACGCTGCTCAGAACAGCACTCACGCTGCCCAAACCTGGCTCAACGCCCAGCACCAGCAGAAGCAGAGAACCTGCTCTTGCAGGGTGCACACCACCTCTGCTCTCACCAGGAGCTGGGGAGGAATTTGGGGGGCACCCATCTTCCACACAAGATGACGGTCCCCAAAACACACCTCCTCACTCCTAGAAATGGACCAAGAAAAGGATCTGGTCATTGGCGCTGAGGCTGTGCTGCACACAAGAGGCTCACCCGGCGTGCCAGGCAGCAGGAGGTGAGGACAACCTGGAATCGGGCATGTCAGGAGCTTTATGAATCAACATAACCGTGAGCATCGTCTGTCCTGGTGATCTGTTCTCTAATCCATGCGCCAGCTGAAATTGAAACTGCAACACTAAACTCAGGTGGTACATGAGGATTTCCGGTGGACTAGACACCCTATTACACATACCCACAACTACTGCACAGCAACAGTTACTCACCTCTATCTCCTCTTTTACTGTACCACGGTAATAAAATCCATCTTGTTCCCCTCTCACCAGCACAGGGACGTTGCTGTCGATGCCCACTGATCTTCCGGATGTGCTCAGCCTCTTTTGTGCTGGGCCAAGGGAGGGGAGGCAGTGGCAAATCCACTGGCACCTTCAAGAAAAGAAAATGGGTCAGCACTGGGAGAAACAGCTTCTGCAGGTCATGAAATTTAAAAAAATCTTGTCAGGTTTAAGAACTGGATCACTCCACCTCATTTTGTAGCACTCCCACAGGCCAAAGAATGTGGCAAGAAACAGAAAACTTATTTGTGCTGGGACAATTCCTTGCTCTTGTAGAAAAAAAAAAAACAACCATCAGCGCATGTTTTTACCTGGATTTCTTTGGGTTTGGATTTAGAGGAATTGAGCCAGGAGTACACTGGAATCCTAGGCCAGCATTACCTGCACTAGCCCCTTTGCTGTTTTCATGGCAAGTCAATGCAGCTCTGAAGATCAGGAGAAAGGATCCATTTCCAGCACAGAGCATAGCATAAGTGCGCTCGAGAGCACTGTAGCTGATAGTTTACCACTGAACAGAAAAGTAGGAAAGTAAACAGTGAAGCTACTGGTTGGTGACAGGTTCAAGCTCAAAACAGGGAAAATAATCCCCTGTCACAAAGCATTAGAAACACTTCACAGAAGATAGCTGCTAACACAAGATTCTTTTATTTATCCAAATAACATTAAAGGAATGTTTCTTTGATAGGAGGTTTACTCAGGCTTTGCTTTTCATAATCTCCAGGGTAGTAAATCACTTTACCTGATACCATCTAAAAAATTACCAGTGCAGGGGAGTGGAAGGCTCAAATGATGTTCAAGCTGCTAATTTATTAATCTGACACACCAGCCCATTTTATCCTATTAGATATCATGAAAAAGAACAAATCAGACTCAAACAAGAACTTGATTTTACCTCTGGGGGGTGAGGGGCTCGGCGATCCAGGCAGGATGCCCTACAAAAGAGGTCCTGCAGCAGGGGCTGACAGTAGGTACCACGCTGGAGCACGAGAACTTGTCTGGAGCTGGCATCGCACTGCAGTACCGGTGACCTGCAGGCAGGAACCCTTCCGAACGAGCCATTCTTGCAAAAGCAGCCACCTGCAGGACTCAGTTGTGATCTGTGGGTATGAAAGAGACAATGTACCAGCATTTTTCAACACAAGCAAATGGTTTCCAGTGTACCTCAAGAACACAGTAGCTTTTGTTAATTGTTTATTTTTATTTCAAAAGAATGAATCCAAAATATCCAGACTGGCATTTGGTCAGACGAACCCATATCACTGACTTCAGTGATCTTCAGTTACCCAAATCCCAACCTGGTAGAGGGACAGAAACACCCAAGGAAACTAGAAATGCTGTGAAAATCCCCAGGAAAGCAATAGTTTTCACCTCCCTCCAACGTTTGTTTTCCTCTTACACCTACACCCTCCTTTAAAGCTCTCTGGTACACAGCCCCAGCCAAACCTTCCCTATTTACAAGCTGAAACAGAAGCTACAGCTGAAGTTGACAAGCTGAGTAAACATGACAGTTTCTGAACATGATGTTAGGTTACAGTTTCCTGTTACTTGTTTTATTTATAGTGAGGTATTGAGAGGAAATATTTTCATCTTTCAGCTGTCCTGTCATGTTTTATAAGAGTAGGATTATGGCTTGCCACGAGAAAGAATGAGATGCTCAGATTTGACAAGTGATAACTATTCAGAGGCTGTCACAGTAAGATTGATGATGTGATGCTATCTCTGGTAATCCGACAAGATACAGTAGACAAGCTTCCATTCCTTTTTCTTTTTTTTTTTTTAATATTGCTTAGAAATGTTTAGCACGCTTAGGGTAGAATTTACATGGAAATTCAACAACATATAAGTTTTAAGCGCCCAATTTACTTTACAAAATACAGTTTAAGTGCTCATATTATGTTTCAGAGTTATTTTGTCTCTCACCTAAGAGATATGATCTGGGAGTCCTTTCTAGGAGGCCTCCCAAATATACATAATTTCAGAAAACTAACACACCAAACCCAGCAAGGAGAGTGCATTCACTGCTGCAAAACATGTCTTTAAGTCAGCAAATCAACACAATATGCTCTCGTTTCACAACTCCACAAACTCCCCTACTATAAACGAAAGAAAGATGGAATCAGTAACACTTTGCAAAGCAATGCAACTGTCAGTTCTACATTAAAGCACATTTTAAATCCATTCAGTGCTGTTCCTGCTGAGAGCCAGGTCCCCGATTTCTATATAAAACAGGGCACTAACAAAGGCAATGGCACAACACTTTATGAGGGTTTTTTTCTGGATAACTCTAAGTACTTCAACACATCAGCATTTCAAACTTACCAGCTATTGAGAACACCACATCTGGTTGATTCAGATTTAGTCCCAATGCAGAAGTCTTGCCCTTTTGCCTGTTTGATGCAGGAAGCCATTTGCTGCCACTGTTTGCTAGTTGCTATGGAGGTTGCCACAGTCGTTCGAACCAGGATCAGCCTCCTGACCTCACCAGTTCAAAACCAGCAGAACATGACTACGGAGAGGACCATTTGCCTGCCATACATCCACTCAATTTTCAACTCCCCACTGATCTAGATATTGCATTGAAAGACTGCAGGGGCAGAAAAGGGATTATAAGAGGGTGCAGCATCCTCTAGGCTTTCTGCCTACTACTGCAGGGCAAAAACCAGCACCATACAAAGCTACAGTTCAGATTCAGAAAAAGCAGCCTACCACCACCGGGTGTGACAAATAAATTGGTTTGAAACACGGGCACAAACGTGGAAGCAGACACAAGCAGAGGTCAAATTGCTTTACAAACTTTCCCTTTCCACAATAAAGTGGAAGGATTAATGAATTCTACCCTGCAAAGTGCATACCGAAAACATGCCAGAACACAATGCAGAAATCTACCAGTTAATCTCTGCTGTGATTCCTAAATGACCCCTAATCTTAATTTTCTCCTTAACAAATGTTAACTTTTTTT